GGATCAATGGGGTCAAGTCTTATGGGCAGAAAGGGCTTAAATGAATAAATACCGGCGATGAACCGTCGCCACTCGGATGTTACGGAGATAACGCGATGGTGGTGCCTTATCTCAGGCTGGCGGGAAGGTAACGAGGTCTTGTTTGGTTGTGAAAAGTCTGAAATATTCCTCAAAAAAATTATTACGGCTAAAAGTTGCCAAGCGGCGCAGCTTCCTATTTGCATTATTTTCAGAATAACGGGTGAGGCAGCAATTAGAAACCTCCAGCCGTGATCTGGGGGTCTTTACAGAGACGTATTTACCTTCTCGCTTCTCCTTGAGGGTGTGAGTGAAAAGCCAGTCCGGTTTTGGGAAGCTCGTAACACGGAACTGGAGGTGGAAATGTCCAGAAATGGACAAAAGCGGCCGCACAACGACAGCCGTAGAGAGAAGGGCGACCGGCACCACGCGGGGTAAGCGACCAGCCCCACGTTCAAACTTTCCCCAGCATTTAAGAGCACCTTAAAGTTAACTAATCATTTTTTTTTAAAGCACCCATTTAGGAGCTGAATGTCAACCTTTATTCTTTTGAACATCTGAAATCTTGAGGTGACAGCACCTTATTGAGCCACGTGATCTATTTAGAGCGATAAAATTTTCCTTTTTCCTTCACCTCTATCTCCTGCATTCACGGTGTTGCTCGGAAAACAGTCAGTTCTGCACAGGAGCAACCATTTTCCAACCAGGAATTAAACCCCCGAGTCCAAAGCCGAGCCCAGTGCTGAGCCCAGGGGTTGTGACAGCTGCTTCCACCCTCCCCCAGACGTGCCAGGGGAGAACTTGGTTTCACAAAGATTAGGGAAAAAATGTTGTCTGTGAAATGTTTTTTGCAAACTATACAAAGCACTGGATTGTGTCTGGATGTCAGGACAAACCACACATGAAGAATCCATTTTCTAGGTTCATTACAGCAAGGTGTCTTCCCTCAAACTCTCTCTTCCCCAAAAGAAAGTGCAAGAACTTGAGGTGACACAAAAGAGGGCGACTCGAGCCCATCGCTGCGAGCGCCCAACCCTCGTGTCCGAGTACCCGGCTGCAGCCAGATAAAATTCAAAGTATTGGCTAAAACCTGAGCCTCAAGAGTCATTTGAACGAGGCCTCTCTCTCCTCAACAGTCCTGCAGCTTAAGAAATCGAGGCCAAGAAAGTTCCACTAATAGTTTGGTTTGATTTAGAAGATGCCTCAGCACCACACTCTCTCTTAAGTGATCTCGGTGCTGCTGGGGAAGCATTGCTGGCCAAAGAGGTTACAGAACATGAATATAAATAACCCAAGAAGCCAGACACAATTACGAGACTAAATAAAATTTCTCAAAACACACCAACACTGTATTCATTTCTCCTGTAATGGAATGAACCCGGCGTCAAATGTATGTTTTACCCTTAAATAGAACAACTTTATTCAACCAAATCCAACGTTATTCCAAAACTATTCCTTAACATTGACTTACAGAATTGTTGACATTTTCCCTATTCAAAATCCCTTACATATTGCTTAGAAAAAAAAAAAAAGGAACCTTTGAAATTTTAATTTAAAAAGCATTTTTGGAAAAACAGAAGGTGAGAATCCCATTTTTTTAAATCATCCTTTTCTATTTCTCCAACAAAACTAAATGGAATAGTGAGACAGTTGGTGATACACACCAACACTTTGCTGAGCTTTATAAAAACGAGAATGGAGAAGTGCAACTTCCAGGGACGCGAGACAAGGGTGACACCAGGAGACACATCACGAGCTGGGGGGGACTAACAACGCCGAGTTTTAAGATTGTGATCTTCAGTCGTGCTCTGGTTCCACCCTGCAGACTCTAAGCACCGTGCTCTAAGCCTAGCTACACGATTTACAGTTCACTTTATTTCCAGAAAGTTGAAATCATTTTACTTTGAAGATTTTTTTGGCTCAGGGACCTAAAGGCTCGGTCCCCCCGGCAGCGAGTGACGCAGCCTGCACCGTGTGTGATGGGATGGGCTGAAGAGGCTGAACGTGTCCTGTCCCACATGAAGAGGAGCTTGTGCCGAAGAACAGGCCACAATCCCAGGGCTGTATTTTGAAAGCATTATAATCTTTTGTAGAAAAAGTTATGTTTCCAGCCAAAAGTCTCTTCCAAGTTAAGGGCCGCGTTTGTGAATGACTTTCAAGATCCAAATAACCTAGTGGACGCAACAGGAAAAAAAATAAAAGGAGATGAGAAGTGGGTACAAGCGGGAACAGTCACACCAGTGCCCTTCTGGCTCAGTGCACATCTGGCCAGCGGTTTTTCTCCCCCGTGTATCAGACTATAAAGCTACATAAGCACAAGGAAAACAGCCTGACAGCCTGCCCACAGAACCAAACCCTGCTGTTTCCAGGTCTATTCTCAAGGCTGATCCCGTCCTATTACTTGGTGGGTTTCCCCTGCTCCCCTAAAATGAGAAACATCCCCCCAAAAACTGAAATGCTGCCCCAAATGATGTTTTATCCAAGCAGCCCACAACAAGGAACCCTGTGTCTAAGGCTAAATGACTCACATGCTGGCAAAGAAGGTTTTCATGCACTACATGGAGGTCAACCAATGTCTCTTTGAAGAATGAAATAAAGAAGTGAAATAAAAAAGGAATTATGGAACAACAGAGTTGTTCCTGAAAAGAAACGTGCAAGAAAAATCCCAATATGTGCAACTTCCTATAAACAAATGACAAAACACGTTACTTACACAATCATGCAGAACATCATGAAGACATTCCACAAGGCAATGAAGATTCGAAAATATCTGAGACTCAGCAAAAACTCTCTGATATTATCACCTAAAAATCAAGAAAAGACGACTTCGATGTAAAAAGCTACCCAATACACTGACAAGTCACATTTTCAACACTGCCTTGGGTGAAAAACCCAACTCTGACACAGAAAACACCCAAAAAGGTCAGAGAACAAAAGACTGAAAGTTGAAGTTTTAAGTAAATGATGCAGACTATGTTCAGTTCATCCCTACGATGGGTTTGGGGGAAAATAGTAAATGATAAAAAGGGGTCACACTAATAAAAAGGGAAGAACAGCCCTCTGTGGGAGCTTCCAGCCACTTTGAACCAGGAAGCAGAGATACAAAAGAGCGATAAATAAATGTACATGCACACCAGGCACCTACATTCAAATATGCAGAAAAAAATATGCATTTTTGTATTTCTTCTCAAATCGCCAATTTGGGATGAACAAAGGTTTGTCATAGCTGTCATGTAAACATTGGGGGGGGGAAATTTTAAGTTGCAATTT